TCTCTACTAAAAAATACAAAAAAACTAGCCGGGCGAGGTGGCGGCGCCTGTAGTCCCAGCTACTCGGGAGGCTGAGGCAGGAGAATGGCGGGAACCCGGGAGGCGGAGCTTGCAGTGAGCTGAGATCGGGCCACTGCACTCCAGCCTGGGCGACAGAGCCAGACTCTGTCTCAAAAAAATAAATAAAATAAATAAATAAATAAATAAATAAATAAATAAAGATTTGTGGTTCCACCGTTTCTAAGCACTGTGTTAATTATTGGGGATACTGTGCTTCACCACAAATTTCCAAGAGATGGTGTCCCAAGAGTAAGCATTTAAAATTTTGTGAAGGTTTTTTTTTTTTTTTTTTGAGACCAAGTCTCACTTTGTCGCCCAGGCTGGAGTGTGCGGTGGCGCGATCCCGGCCCACTGCAACCTCCGCCTCCCGGGTTCAAGCGATTCTCCTGCCTCAGCCTCCCGAGTAGCTGGGATTACAGGCGTGCGCCACCATGCCTGGCCTTATTTTTGTTTTTGTTTTTGAGACGCAGCCTCACTGTCCCCCAGGCTGGAGTGAAGTGGCACAATCCGGGTTCACTGCAGCTTAGACCTGCTGGGCTCAAGCCATCCTCCCACCTCAGCCTCCAAGTAGCTGGGATTACAGGCGCACACCACCAATGCCCGGCTAGTTTTTGTATTTTTAGTAGAGATTGTGTTTCGCCACATCACCCAGGCTGGTCTGAAACTCTTGGCCTCAAGCGACCTGCCCTCCTCAGCCTCCCGAAGTGCTGGGATTACAAGTGTGAGCCACCGTGTCCATCAGGGAAGGCTTTTGGTTGGAACAATGGTTGGGAAAACCACAGGCATTGGAAGGCCAGAGCTAGGGATATAAAATATGTGTCCTACAGTGTAATAGATGATGCTACATAAAGAAAATCCCGTAATACACACGATTTCTGAATGTCCTGCTGAACATTCGGTGAGTGAAAAGTAATTATCTGAGACTTGAACCTATCTTTGTTAATAAACACAAAGCATTTTCCCACACTTTTAATGTACGTTGAATTTTCTAGGAATGTTATTGCCCCAAAATTGAATAGTAATTTTGTTTTGTTTGGAATTCATTAAGAGTTGTGTACCATTTCAAGAAATAACGTCACCAAAAGCAACATCACTTGTAATAATTTGAATAGTGGGCCAGGCGCGGTGGCTCAAGCCTGTAATCCCAGCACTTTGGGAGGCCGAGACGGGCAGATCACGAGGTCAGGAGTTCGAGACCATCCTGGCTAACACGGTGAAACCCCGTCTCTACTAAAAAATACAAAAAACTAGCCAGGCGAGGTGGCGGGCGCCTGTAGTCCCGGCTACTCGGGAGGCTGAGGCAGGAGAATGGCGTAAAAACCCGGGAGGCGGAGCTTGCAGTGAGCTGAGATCCGGCCACTGCACTCCAGCCTGGGCGATACAGCGAGACTCCGTCTCAAAAAATAATAATAATAATAATAATAATTTGAATAGTGAATACTGAAAAAAGAACTTTGAGGAATGTGAGTTAAATTATTACGCCCTGAGAGGCATTAAAATGAGAGGCAATCACATCCTACTTGCCCCCTTTTGAGCTATGTATTTATGTCTTAAAACTGTTTGCTATTTCACAAGTATTAGGTATAAATTAGCCTAATTATGCCCCACCAGACACTATATCCTACCGCCTATAGCTTGATAATGTTTAGCCAATCACTAATCAATGTTATTTTTGTAAACCAATGAGAATTCCTTAAAGACAACTTTATATCAGCCCACTCCCCATCCTCATTCTTTTCCTTTAAAAATCCACTTGTACCTGCTGCTAATCTTAGAGTGTATTCTGGGCCACTTTATGCTGCTGAGTTGCAATCTTCAAGTTTGGCCCAAATAAACTCTCTATTTACATTAATTTTGCCTCAGCTTCTTCGTTTTAGGTAGACAATACTTACTCAAATCAGTCTGCATTCAAAGTAATTCTACATATAGGTACAAGCATCTGAAATCTTCATTATACCTCGTAGTGTCATCATGCCTGAGTATTTATATATTGAAACATATGTTGGCCGGGCGCGGTGGCTCATGCGTGTAATCCCACCACTTTGAGAGGCCGAGGTGGTCAGGAGATCGAGACCATCCTGGCTAACATGGTGAAACCCTGTCTCTACTAAAAAATAAAACAAAAATTAGCCGGCATGATGGTGGGCACCTGTAGTCCCAGCTACTCGGGAGACTGAGGCAGGAGAACGGCGTGAACCCAGGAGGCGGAGCTTGTAGTGAGCAGAGATCGTGCCACTGTACTCCAGCCTGGGCGAGAGTGTGAGACACCATCTCAAAAAAAAAAAAAAAAATACATTACTATTTTTACTTTACTTTTATATTACCTTTATGCCTGACCTCCTGGACTCTGTATCCTGTTAGGGTATTATGTTATTTTCATAATTATGTGAGTAGGTAGATATATTAGTTATTTATTGTTGTGTAACAAATCACTCCAAAACTTAGTGGCTTACAACAAATATTTATCACACAGTTCCTATGGGTCAGCAATGTGGGTGCAATTTAGCTGGGTGCCTGTTGCTCAAGGTCCCTCCTGTTGCAGTCAGGATGTTGGCTGGGGCCACAGTCATACCTCAAGTGTTGATGGAGGAGAATTTGCCAGAGTCACTCACAGGTTGCTGGAGGTTTCAGTTCTTCGAGGTTGTTGGACTAAAGGCCTCAGTTCTTCACCGGATGTTGCCCAGAGGCCTCCCTCAGTTCCTTCCACGTAATCCACTCCATAGGGCAGCTCACAATGTGCCAGTTGCCTTCCTCCACAGGTCACAAGTGAGAGAACCCAGAGGACAGAACTCACAGGTTTTCTGTTACCTGATTTTGGAAGTGACATCCCATCATTTCTGCCCTATTCTATTCACTAGAAGTGAGTAAAAAAGTGCAGCTAGGGCCGGGCGCAGTGGCTCACGCCTGTAATCCCAGCACTTTGGGAGGCGGAGGTGGGCGGATCACGAGGTCGGGAGTTCCGAGACCAGCCTGGCCATCATGGTGAAACCTCGTCTCCACTGAAAATACAAAAATTGGCCGGGCGTAGTGGCGGGCGCCTGTAATCCCAGCTACTCAGGAGGCTGAGGCAGGACAGTTGCTTGAACGCGGGAGGCAGAGGTTGCAGTGAGCTGAGATGGCGCCCCTGTACTCCAGCCAGGGCAACAGAGTGAGACTCCGTCTCAGAAAAGAAAAAAAGTGCAGCCCAAATTCGTGGAGAGGGGATTACATAAGGGCAAGAATATTGCGCTGGAGATCACTGGGGGCTTTCTGAGAGGCCACCTACCACAGTCAATTATATTATTTTTGAATTTCACTGCACAATAATGGAGACATTGTATTTGTTATTAATATTTAAGGGAGATTGTTGAGCCTGATAGGGTTGAGAACGGCTTTTAGGTAGTGATCCAGTGTCCAGGAGGTCATGCATAAAACATTCATAGTGTCTGTTATTAGGGGAGTAGATAGGTAAAATATGCTGGATGCACAGCATGGAGTACAATGCAGCAATCAGAAGCATAGATTTAGTAACATGAGAGAACTTGCAAACAGTTTAAAGTAAAAAAGAAACAAGATCTACAACATAATACCATTTATAGAAATTTAAAATACTACTTATTTTACAAGAAAATATAAAAAAGCATAGACATTAAACACACGAGAAAGTTGCAGTGTAGGAGAAATGGGAATAAGGATAAAAGGAATAAATTGATCAATAAAAAGTGAAGGACTTTGGAAGGGCCAATTGTAATAGTATGCCATGAACTGCGGCATGTGAATAATTCAGTCCTGTGAACCTGAGATCCAAAATACAAAGTTGGGGAAAAAATTGCAGTGTGATAAGCAGAGCAGAAGGAAAACACAGCGTGAAAAGTCATGGTGTGCAGTGATGCTTGATCACTTGGTTAACATGGTGTCTTCCAATTCCCCCATTGTGTTTACTGTTTTGTTTTTAAATATTTTGAGGAAGATACTTTGTCACTAACATTTTGATGGGCAGAATTCACCAAACAGAAAATGTATTTCACTGGAAAAGGGAAACTTATTATATAAAGTATGTAAACTGTATTTGGTTAAAGGTTCATAAAGGCACAAACAAATGCCAGATAATGCTTTGAAATTCTATAGGCCTATTGCAACCTCTGCCTCCCTGGTTCCAGTGACTTTCCACTCAGCCTCCCAGCAGCTGGAATTTTTTTTTTTTTTTGAGAAGGTCTTGCTCTGTCACCCAGGCTGGAGCACAGTGGTGTCATCTTGGCTCACTGCAACCTCCGCCTCCTGGTCTCAAGCGATTCTCCTGCCTCAGCCTCCCAAGTAGGGGTTAGGGCATGTGTCACCACGTCCAGCTAATTTTTGTATTTTTAGTAGAGACGGGGTTTCACCATGTTAGCCAGGATGGTCTCGATATCCTGACCTCATGATCCGCCCACCTCAGCCTCCCAAAGTGCTGGGATTACAGGCAGCTACTGTGTCCGGCCCCGAGTAGCGGAATTATAGGCACACATCACCACGTCCAGCTAATTTTTGTATTTTTATGAGAGACGGGGTTTTGCCATGTTGGCCAGGCTGGTCTAGAACTCCTGACCTCAAGTGATCCTCCCACCTTGGCCTCCCAAAGTGCTGGGATTATAGGCATGAGTCACTGTAGCCAGTCCTCCGCAAACTTTTTTTTTTTTTTTTTTTTAAGGTTCAGGAGAACAGATCTTTCTGGCCAGTAACCCTGTGAATATTCAGGTAAGATAAGGAGAAGTTTGAAGATTCCAAATTCCTGTCATCACAAACCAATCTCACTGAACAAAGGTCTTTGCTAATAACCAACTGAACATCACTCTGGGAGGCTCTGATACAAGGATCTCCTTCTTATGCTGATATATTAAGTAAAACCACGTAGTGGTATAAGGAACATCAGAGAAATGAAATAAGAAATGGTCAGTTTTAGTGAGGAAACTAAATATGGAAACTTGATTTGTGAGACTTTCAGGTTCTGTAGATGAACAGGCCAGGCCCATAAGCAGGACAGCGAGGCAAGGACAGCACAGGAATAAGATTTGGTTGCCCTAACACTGTTGTGCTCTAAAGAGAGCCCTTGCGATAGCATTTTAAAACTGGAAACGAAGACTTTTAAGAACTGAGATTGATTTCACACACGGATATATACAGTCTTGCTCTACAAATCCATCGGCATTTTTCCTTGGTGGTGCTTGAGGCAGAGATGGATAGTTCTGGCCACTCCTCTTGTTCCCATACATCACAGAAATGTTAGTACTGCCGCTCTTATGAGAACTTTCCCTTAATCTGCAGTTTCTGATTTTCTTGACTGAACCAACTTAGCACTCTATTGATGTGCTGCATTTAACTGTTCTCTAGGGAGATTATAAATTTATTAGGAGTAAGAGATTTGTCTGAAGCATATTTTTGGATTCTGTATTGCAGCTGTTTCAAACTGTGCTCTTACTTCTTTGAGGCGAGTGCTTTAGCAGTAGGGCCAGGCAGGCTCAGGGCCCCAATCCGAGCCCTTCAAGCACAGCAACTTTGCTTTTTTGGTTTATGTTCTTGCTATATGTTAAGGGTTTCAAGAAAGGGTTCAGTGACTAAAAAACTCAAAAATTACTCCTCTTGCCCAGCGTACTGAATATTTACTGTATTACAGTAAGTTGAAGTTTCTTGCCTTTGTGTAACAAAGGGTAGAAAATGGAGCTATATAAACCAAACACAGTTCCTTTCCTTTTTCTATTCTTCCTACCCTTGACTCTCCCACTCCATCTGTCTCCATCTCCGCTGTCTAATAAATACTCAAATATAGAATATAACAAGAATGGGTGGGGACATTTCCCAGCAGCAGAAATGAAAGGATGTCACAATGCTGTGTGCAGCAGCGTGTGAGCACTTGCTGTCTAGGAATAAAATTAAGACAAAACAGCAGAGATCCTAACTTAGAAAAGGACTCTAACTTACAGCTAAAGCGTCTGCAGTAAGGTCATCGAAATTCAACACATTCTCTGGGACAGACTCATCATCTTCCACTGGCTCTTTTTTCTGCAGGAAGGAAAAAACCCAACACAAATCAATAAAAGAAAATCTCTGGCATTGTTTTATAAAGTAAACACCAAATTAACGTATTATATAAACGAATCACAGAACTTCCTACATAAATTTTTCTAAAAGATACAACATGTAGGAAAAAAATTAGTACACTGGAAGCCAGAAGTCAAAGTGTCAAGCCCCTATGCTGCCACTTAATAGTGTTTTGATCCTAAAATCAATTAATCTGTCTGGGTCAGAGAATTAACATCCTGAAGAATACGAGAAGAATGTCACTCCCTGTGCGTAGGTCCTCATAGGAATCAGAAGAGAATTGATTTGAAATGCTCATGAGCTACAAGCCCAGGAGAGGCAGCGCAGTGCTCAGGAGCAAGCCCTGGGGCAGACACACCTGCGTGTGGATTCTTTTTTTTTTTTTGGACGGAGTCTAACTCTGTCGTCCAGGCTGGAGTGCAGTTTGCGTGCTCTCGGCTCACTGCAACCTCCACCTCCCGGTTTCAAGTGATTCTCCTGCCTCAGCCTCCCAAGTAGCTGGGATTACAGTAGTGCGCCACCATGTCTGGCTAATTTTTTTTTTTTGTATTTTTAATAGAGACAGGGTTTCATTATGTTGGACAGGGTGATCTCAAACTCCTGGTCTCAAGTGATCTCCCACCTTGACCTCCCAAAGTACTGGGATTACAGGCATAAGCCACTGCACCCACCCCAAGTGTAGATTCTTATCTACCTGCTAACAATAATCCCAGCATTGAGGCTAAGGGGGAAAGATGGATGGAGCGATGACATATCAGACAGCCAAGGAAAACAAACAAACAAAAAGTCACAGGATCTGGAACTAAGTTTAGAACAATCAATGCAATTTGACACAATGGCAGGGGTGTAACCAGGGCTGGATTTCGTTCTCTCTAGTTTCTCTTCTCGTCCTTCTGTATGATAATTCTGCTAAATCATCACTTGTAATCCTTGCACAAAACCAGGTGAATTTAAGAAGATCCCTTAAAGAGTTAAATTCTTCTTAAATTAAAATGAGTTGGCAGGGCACTGTGGCTCATGCCTGTAATTCCAGCACTTTGGGAGGCTGAGGCAAGTGGATCATGAGGTCAGGAGTTCAACACCTGCCTGGCCAAGATGGTGAAACCCCTTCTCTACTAAAAATACAAAATTAGGCAGGCATGGTAGCAGACACCTGTAATCCCAACTACTTGGGAGGCTGAGGCAGAAGAATTGCTTGAAATCGGGGGGCAGAGGTTGCAGTGAGCCAAGATCACGCCACTGCACTCCAGCCTGGGTGACAGAGTGAGACTCCGTCTCAAAAAAAAAAAAAAAAAAGAGTTGGCCGGGCACAGTGGCTCATGCCTGTAATCGCAGCACTTTGGAAGGCCAAGGTGGGCAGATCACGAGGTCAGGAGATCGAGACCATCCTGGCTAACATGGTGAAATCCCGTCTCTACCAAAAACACACACAAAAAAATTAGCCGGGCATTGTGGCAGGTGCCTGTAGTCCCAGCTACCCAGCAGGAGAATGGAGTGAACCCGGGAGGCGGAGGTTGCAGTGAGTCGAGATCGCACCACTGCACTCCAGCCTGGGCGACAGATTGAGATTCTGTCTCAAAAAAAAAAAAAAAAGACTTAAAGAAAGTTAGTCAAGAACATTATGATATATATGAGACTTCAACAAAACTTGCGTAAGAATATTTAGCATCTGCTTTGTAAGTATAAATAAAACAAAGTATAACCAGGTATAGTGGCTTGCAACTGTAATCCCAGCTACATGGTAGGCTGAGGTGGGAGGATCACTTTAGCCCAAGAGTTCAAGACCAGCCTGGGCAGCAGAGTGAGACCCCATATCTAAATATATATATTTTAAATTAGCCAGGCATAGTGGAGTACACCTGTACTCTCAGCTACTTGGGAGGATGAGGTGGGGGGATTGCATGAGCCCAGGAATTAGAGGCTGTGGTGAGCTATGCTTGTGCCACTGTACTGCAGCCTGGGTGACTTTAAAAAATTAGCCAGGCACAGTGACATGTGTCTATAGTCCTAGTTACTTAAGAGGCTGAAGTGGGAGGACCGCTTGAGCCAAGGAGTTGGAGGTTGCAGTGATCTATGATCATGCCACTGCACTCTAGCCTGGGCAACAGAGCAAGACACTGTCTCAAAAAAAGAAAGAAAGAAAGAACAAAAGGACTAAATCTCCTAAATGTAAAGCATAGAAATCCTTTAGGTTCATTACACATTCTCATATGATCAAAATTCTAACCATAACTCCACTCACACCCTTCAGTGACTCAGAGAAAAATCATCTTAAAAAGCTAGAAAAATCTGGCCAGGTGCAGTGGCAACATAGGGAGACTCCATCTCTACGAAAAAAAAAAAAAATTAGCCGAGTGTGGTGGCATGCTACTAGGGAGGCTGAGGCAGGAGGACTGCTTGGGCCCAGGAGGTTGAGGCTGCAGTGAGCCATGATTGTGCCACTGCACTCCAGCCTGGGCAACAAAATAAGACTTTGTCTCAAAAAAAAGGAAAAAAAGTTGGAAAAATTTGAAACTATCAGAATGAGTCTTGATAAGAACAAACAGACTACACAGGTAGGGAAAAAATGGACTAAATCTCAAGATATTTGCAATGGCATCAGGCAGGGTGATACGTTAGCAAGACAGTTACCAGGCTCCCTTGCTATTTGATAGTCCCCCAGGGCAGCAAATTCAAGTTCAGAGCTCAAGGTTTGGCTCTGCAACTAAGTTAGAGTATGATTTTAAGCAAGCTCTTTAATTTCCTAAGCCGATTCCCTTACCCATTAAATAGGGCTGACAAATGTACTATCTGCACTCCAGCTTTGCAGTAAGGATCAAAACCAAAATGAGATGTCTGTGAAAGTATCTGAATGTTTTCGAGTGCTCTACAAATTAAAGCACTATCATTACCATTTCAATGGCAGCGGGAGTGAACACTGCCTGCATGGCTAGCAACAAAATCAGATCTAAGAATGTTATTGTAAATGACAACACTCACAATCCCATCTTCTTGCTACAAAAAATACCCAGCTGGCACTGACTGTACATAGGTCCCAAAGAACACCCAGGGAGGAGTATGTATGGGAATTAACATAAGTATGGGGTCTCTCGCATGCAAATGACTAAGTCCCACAGAAAGAAACTGGATGATTATCAATACCACTTTCCACAGCTAAAAGTGTTACACGCTGAAAGTTTAACAAAATATTGTCAAAGAGAAAGATGCCGACTGTCATGAAGCCAAGAGTAAGGTGCTAGAATCCCAAGGTCATCTTTTTATGCTCCTTACTGGTGTGGTTCCAAAGTTCTATAATGTTTTTTGTTGTTGTTGTTTAGTTTTGAGGTTCACAACTTAAAAAGTATCTAGATTGTAAAGTGCATTTAATTAATTCATTGTTTTTTTTTTTTTTTTTTGGAGACAGGGTTTCACTGGAAACCCAGGCTGGAGTTCAGTAGCGCAATCTTGGCTCACTGCAACTTTTACCTCTTGGCTTCAAGTGATCTCCCACCTCAGCCTCCTGAGTAGCTGGAACTACAGGCGCCGGCCGCCAAGCCTGGCTAATTGTTTTATTTTATTTTTCTAGAGACGGGGTTTCACCATGTTGTGCAGACTGGTCTTAAACTCCTGAGCTCAAGCAATTTGCCCACCTTGGCCTCCCAAAGTGCTGGGACTACAGGCGTGAGCTACTGTACCTAGCTATAATATGTAATGTAATATGATTAAGGGGCTAAACAGGTATTTTTAAAGAAAAGTTAAAAACATGAACTATTCTGGATACCAAAGCGAAAGCTGAGCTGAAACGTGATATTTTTCAGGCATAGGAAGGATTTTTTTTGGATGAAGGCCAGTAACATTACTTGCCATCCATTATAACCCACAATTGCTGAACAACTACATGTTCTTGACACTAAGCCAAATTTTCTACATTTGAAAGAAATTTAGTTCTATGCATAACCATTGCTTGGCATTTAAATTTTAAAAAAAAGTTCTAACAATTCCATTCTATAGGTGTAGCATTGTCATTTTATAGATGAGAAAACTGAGGCTCAGACATTAACTTGCCTAAAAGTCACATAACGTAGCAAGATTTGAACTCTGAATCTGTACTGTTTTCATTATGGAGCACAACTACACTGAGACGACAAATCTGAAATCTGCCATTAAAAAAGATGACTGATGGGCCGGGCGCGGTGGCTCAAGCCTGTAATCCCAGCACTTTGGGAGGCCGAGGTGGGTGGATCACGAGGTCAGGAGATCGAGACCATCCTGGCTAACACGGTGAAACCCCATCTCTACTAAAAATACAAAAAAATTAGCCGGGCGTGGTGGCAGGCGCCTGTAGTCCCAGCTACTTGGGAGGCTGAGGCAGGAGAATGGCGTGAACCCAGGAGGCGGAGCTTGCAGTGAGCCGAGATAGTGCCACTGCACTCCAGCCTTGGCGACAGAGCAAGACTCCGCCTCAAAAAAAAAAAAAAAGATGACTGATGGAATTTATATTTCTAATGTAAGAACAGAATAGACAACAAACGGCTAGACAACAAAGAATCTTACGTGAACACAGAAGATGGACTTGTGGTAAAGTATATGAAAGTGCCTCCAAGTTCCCTGCCTCCCTATCTTTTTAAAATAATGTTCCCCTTTGGTAAGAAATTGAACATCTTGTAGACTTAAAACACTGAGTTAGAACTTCTGTGAACATTAGCTAAGAGCAAGATCAAATATCTCCGCTCAAGCTCTCACGGCTGTTTGTTCCTCAGTTCTCTTACCTTCATTTTCTCTCCAATCGTCTTGCTGCATAGGTTCTTCAGCTTGTTCAAGTTGTCTGCCCGAAATCTACCTAGGAATAAAGAATCCAAGAATATACCAAAGAAATGCCCATAATTAAGATACTCCCTTCTCCTGATTCTACCTAGGAATAAAGAATCCAAGAATATACCACAAAGAAATGCCCATAATAAGATACTCCTTCTCCTGATCTTGACTTCTTAGTACTGATCTCAGGTTAAGGTTTCAAATGCTACAGCAGCAGAGCTGGAAGGATCTGCCTCATGAAGTTATGAACTTTAGAGCTTTATTTATTTGATTTATTAATTATTATTTTTGAGACGGGCGCCTCATTTTGTTGCCCAAGCTGGAGTGTAGTGGTGCAATCTCGGCTCACTGCAACTTCCGCTCCCAAGTTCGGGTTTTCATTCTCCTGCCACAACCTCCCGAGTAGCTGGGATTATAGGTGCCCGCCACCACGCCCAGCTAATTTTTGTGTTTTTAGAAGAGACGGGGCTTTACCACGTTGGCCAGGCTGGTCTCGAACTCCTGACCTTGGCCTCCCAAAGTGCTGGGATTACAGGCGTGAGCCACTGTGCCCGGCCTAATCTTAGAGCTTTAGAGCCCCAAATGTAGTTGGCATACAATGGTGACTACAATGGTGTCCCCAGCATTTGGTGACAAGGAAAAGACCATTCTGAGGTTAAAATTTAAAAGTATCATAACATGTATGACACCACTATAGAGTGATACATCTGGAAAACTTGGAAGACACTCAAGTAACTAACCTGCCCAATTATCTTAAAACTCATTTAAGGAAACTAGGTGCTATGCACAGGACTCTATAAAGAGTGCAGTCATGATTGCTACCTCTCCATGCTAGAAATGGCTAATGTTACCCTTTTACTTTGATACAATGCTCATCTGGCAGCCTTGAGAATAATTTAGTCTCTTATAATTTGGTTTCCTTTGGGGGAAGACAGTGGTGCACTAACTAGTCAACACATTCCCCCAAATTAATATATTGGTATCATGGATCATCAGTCTAACTCTGATTGGTAAAATTTGGACCTCTTGAATCTAAACATTAGGGGCAATATGATAAAATTCAAGCACAAGCTTTCTTGTTGCTGTTGAGACAGGGTCTCCCTATGTCACCCAGGCTGGAGTACAGTGGCACGACCTCAGCTTACTGCAACCTCTGCCTCCTGGACTCAAGTGATCCTCCCACCTCAGTCTCCCAGGCAGCTAGGACTACAGGTGTGCGCCACCACACCTAGCTAATTTTTTTAATTTTTATTTTTGTAGAGATGGAGTTTTGCTGTGTTGCCCAGGCTGGTCGCAAATTCTTGGGCTCAAGCCATCCACCCATTTTGGCCTCCCAAAGTGCTAGAATTACAGGTGTGAACCATGGCATCCAGCCAAACTCAAGCTTTTAAGAGGCAAAATTGATGACTAGAAATGAGATAGCACCTACAGAACCATTCTTTAAGGTTTTACCAAGGAGCTTTCCTCTTTGATATCTCTTTAACAAAACTTGATGCAAAATGATATCACTATTTTCTCATTCACTTATTCACACTGATAAAACTATAGAGATGGATAATAGATTAGTGGTTGCTAGGGGTGAAATGGAGGGCAAAGGGAGTAGACTACAAAGAGACAGCAAGAAGGATCTTTGTGGTGATGAAACAGTTCTGTATCTTGAGCATGGCAGTGGTTACACAAATTTACACATGGTAAGATTGCACACAACTACACACGCACGTGTATAAAACTGGCAAAATCTGAATAAGGTTTGTGGATTGTAGCAATGTCAATTTCTTGGTTTTAATATTGTACCAGAGTTATATAAGATGTTATCATTGGGGAAAACAGGATCTTTCTACTATTTTTCCAACTTCCTGTAAATCTATAATCATTCTGAGATTCCTTCCTATTTGCAAGGCACCAGGGTAGGTATTGGGAGCATAAAAGAAAATAAGGCCAGGTGTGGTGACTTTTGATATCTCTTTAACAAAACTTGATGCAAAATGATATCACTATTTTCTCATTCACTTATTCACATTGATAAAACTATAGAGATGGATAATAGATTAGTAGTTGCTGGGGTGAAATGGAGGGCAAAGGGAGTAGACTACAAAAGAGACAAATAAGAAGGATCTTTGTGGTGATGAAACAGTTCTGTATCTTGAGCATGGCAGTGGTTACGCAAATTTACACATGGTAAGATTGCACAGAACTACACACACACATGTATAAAACTGGCAAAATCTGGAATAAGGCTTGTGGATTGTAGCAAATGTCAATTCTTGGTTTTAATATTGTACCAGAGTTAAATAAGATGTTATCATTGGGGAAACAGGACCTTCTACTATTTTTCCAACTTGCAAATCTATAATCATTCTGTGAGATTCCTTCCTATTTGCAAGGCACCAGGGTAGGTATTGGGAGCATAAAAGAAAATAAGGCCAGGTGTGGTGACTCATGCCTGTAACCTGCACTTTGGGAGGCTGAAGTGGGTGGTCGCTTGAGCCCAGGAATTCGAGACTACAGCCTGGGCAACGTGGAAACCCTGTCTCTACAAAAAAAAAAAAAAAATACAAAAATTAGCTGAGCATGGTGGCGTGTGCCTGTGGTCCCAGCTACTTGGGAGGCTGAAGTGAGAGGATCACTTGATCCCAGGAGGCAGAGGCTGCAGTGAGCCGAGATCATTCTACTGCACTCCAGCCTGGGTGACAGAACAAGACTATTGCAAAAGAGAAAAAGAAAGAAACAAAAAAGAAAATAAAACAAAACCGGATATTGTAACAATGCTGAATGTTTCAATCAATGAATATAGTATATCCCTTCATTATTTTTAGTTTCCTCTCAGCAATACTTTATAGTTTTCTGTGTGTATGAGTCTTAAATGTCATTTATTAGGTGTGTATCTTCATGTACGTGGTTACTTTTATATAGAAGTACTTTGATTCTCTGTATTGTATCCAGTGATTTTGTTAAAGTTATTTAATTTTAATAGTTTAGATTCTGCATACACAATCAAGTGATCTGCAAATAATGACAGTTTCTTCCATTCCAATCTTTTATTTCTGTTTCTTGCCTTATTCATACTGCCTGGAACCTTTGGCATGATGTTGATTAGAAGAGGTGATAACAGACATACTTGTCTTGTTCCTAACCTCAAGGAGAAAGCATTCAATATTTCATGATTAAGAAAATGCGCCGGACGCAGTGGCTCACATTTGTAATACCAGCACTTTGGGAGGCCAAGGCGTGGGCAGAGATCACGAGATCAAGAGATCGAGACCATCCTGGCCAACATGGTGAAAACCCCATTTCTACTAAAAATACAAAAATTAGCTGGGCATGGTGGCACGCACCTGTAGTGCCAGCTACTCAGGAGACTGAGGCAGGAGAATCACTTGAACCTGAAAGTCTAGGAGCAGCAGTAACAAGCTAGAGCAAAGAGCGGAGGTCCTGTGCGGGAGTGTAGACGAAGCAGGCCAGGAAGGCATGGGGGATCTTGTAAAGTGTATTCAGAAATTTGGATTTTTATGTTTTAAAGCTGTACTGTCCAATATAGTAGCTTTCAATACCGTGTGACTATTAGCATTTGAATGGAAACAGCACCTGAACAGAGGTGCTTTTTATTTATTTATTTATTTATTTTTATTTTTATTTTTTGAGACAGAGTCTCACTCTGTCGCCCACGCTGGAGTGCAGTGGCCAGATCTCAGCTCACTGCAAGCTCCGCCTCCCGGGTTCACGCCATTCTTCCTGCCTCACCTCCGGAGTAGCTGGGGTTATAGGCGCCACCACCTCGCCCGGCTAGTTTTTTTGTATTTTTTTTTTTAGTAGAGATGGGGTTTCACCGTGTTAGCCAGGATAGTTTCGATCTCCTGACCCAGTGATCCGCCCGCCTCGGCCTCCCAAAGTGCTGGGATTACAGGCGTGAGCCACCGCGCCCGGCCCTCAGAGTGGGTGCTTTAAGTGTGTGAAACACACTTTGGAGTTTGAGAATTTGTACAAAAAAAAAAAAAAAAGTAAAATATCTCAGTAGTTTCAGTAATTTTTTTTTTTTTCCAGATGAAGTCTCACTTTGTCCTGCAGGCTGGAGTGCCACCGCGCGATCTCGGCTCACTGCAACCTCTGCCTCCCGGGTTCACGCCATTCCCTCCCAAGGCCAGCCTCTCCGGAGTAGCTGGGACTACTGGCCCGCCACCCGCCCGGCTAATTATTTTGTATTTTTAGTAGAGACGGGGTTTCACCATGTGGTCAGGCTCATTTCAAACTCCTGGCCTCAGGTGATACACCCGCCTCAGCCTCCCAAAGGGCTGGGATTACAGGCGTGAGCCACCCTGCCAGGCTAGTTTCAGTAATTTAAAAACACTGATTATATGTTGAAAATATACTTAGCTGGGCGTGGTGGTTCACTACGCCCAGGCTGACCTCAAGTGCACTGGCCAGGCCCCCTACCTTGGAGGTAAATGACGGATCCTCCTAAAGATGACTTTTGCTGGTAAAGATGAGGTCGTCACATCCTCACCTTCCATGATGGCACACAGCTGTCAGCTGGCAGGTCACAGTCCTTGAGGGTAGCATTCATCACCAGCTTGGAGTACTTGTACTCTAGTCTATAAAACAGGAGGATGGGAAAGACAATATCCCAAAACGTGCGAATAAGGGGGAAAGAGGTAGAGCGGTTGGGCTAAAACAGGTCCTATTTCATGCCATGTGGGTATGAGAATGAAGCATGGTAAAATGGTGTCAGGCTGTGGACTAGAAGGAATCTTGGTTCCCAGTTCAGTGATCTTTGTTCCTTAAGCCTGTTTCTGTGATCTCAAAGTTTAATAGAAATATAAAAATCTAGGCCGGGTGCGGTGGCTCAAGCCTGTAATCCCAGCACTTTGGGAGGCCGAGGCCGGTGGATCACGAGGTCAGGGGATCGAGACCACCCTGGCTAACACGGTGAAACCCTGTCTCTACTAAAAATACAAAAACTAGCCAGGCGTGGTGGCGGGCGCCTGTAGTCCCAGCTACTCAGAGTCTGAGGCTAGAGAATGGCATGAACCCGGGAGGCGGAGCTTGCAGTGAGCCGAGATGGTGCCACTGCACTCCAGCCTGGGTGACACAGCAAGACTCCGTCTCAAAAAAAAAAAAAAAAAAAAAGAAATATGAAAATCTTAATGTCATTCTCTGTATTGTTAAGAATAACAAATTAAGGATATTCTTTGCTTTTGAGAATTTAACATCCATTTATAGATTGCTACGTGGTACCATCCTGTTCAGGAGTCAGGATAACCATACCATGCACTGGATAAGTGGTTTAACAAGTCTCTGGCCAGAGTCACAGAGTCTGTAGCCAATTCCAGAGAACAACCCCATTAATTTACACTTTCAGATATTCTCCCTGATCAATAATCCAACCCTGTCTATCCCCAGACTCCAATACCGCATCATGTACTTTTGATTCTTTTTCCAAAAGTAGCAAGTCAAGACGGTGAGCAGGATGGCAGTACAGGTGCCTGCAGAGATGCCCACTTTCAGCCAGAAATCTATGGTTTTGCAGATGGTGACTCTCTGCTCAGGCAGAGAAATGCCACCAGAGCATAGCTTGGGTTCTCGCCACACGTAAGTAGTCTTCTGTTGGGGAGAAAAACAGGGAACTTAGATCTCTCATTCCCTTCTCTCGTAGGAGTGCCCGATCAGAGGGAAACCCACCTGGATCCCAGCCACACAACTGCTGATGATAGCGTGGTAGTCAGCCACTGAGCAGAGTGGGCAAGCAGCCGCACTCTCCCACAGGAAGTGGAAGTTGCAGCCATCACAGGTCCCATCCGAGCACGTTCTAGTAAAGCAGAAAAGAGGCCTGAGCTCTCACTGGCTGGACTGGTGGGGAAGATCTGGTTGGGGTCCTGTTGTCTCATAGCTTGCCTGATTCACCCTCTCCCTGCCCAAACCGTTAGCCCTGCCAGGATCCTTCCAACTAGTCCTTAACACAGGTTTTGATCTCTGATTTCACTGATAAGAGGCCTTCCTGGCCTCCAGTGGGCTCTCCACCCTCTGCCTGTTTATGTTTTTGCTGACATCGTATGAGAGCTATGGTAAGGTGTCTGAGCTCTAGCACGGCCGTCCCAACAACCCCTTTGAGGTTCCTGTCCTCCCCACAGACTTGTGACATTTGCAATAGCCACTTTGATGCAGCTTCCTGGCGATGGGATTGGAGTTGAGGTGGGGTTCAGGAATGAGCTTCCGGTCATGGATACCTGTTATGTACTTTATTGTGATGTTTACAATGGCAAGAACAGGGATTTGACACTCAGACACCACTACTGGGTCAAGACGCCCTGCTTTGCTCCCCATCTCCCCAGTGAGTTGTGTAGGCGCAGCATATCCAAAATGTCTTCCT